AACTGCTCCTCAAATATCTGAAGGGAACACCCTCTATATACTCTGTCGACCCTCACTGTCCTATCATCTGCTATCTCAACCTCTAATGGACAATCCAGCTCCCCCGGAGCTCTGCTAAATCTCTTGCTAAGCGCAAGCGATACAAATGATCAGGTGGCCCCCGAATCGAACAATACCAAAGCAGGGATGCCGTTCACCGAGAACGACCCTAAATAAAACGTACCATCAAATAATATTCAAACGATATATTAATAATTAAAAGATGAAAGAAATATACATACCCGTCACCACATCAGGAGTCGCTCGCGCCTCCTCTGCTGTCATCTGAAATGCCCTGCTCTTCGCCACCGGCGCATCAGCTCGGCCCTGCCGGCCATCCGTGATCCTCAAGGTGGCAGGGGCGGGTGCAAGCACCTTCCCTGCTGCAGCTAAACTGGGACACTGGGACCTTTTGTGTCCCCTCTGATTGCACTGAAAGCAAATCAGATCCGATGCTGTAACCGTAGTGGCAGGGGCCGTACAATCCCTACTCATATGCCCGGTCCGACCGCACTTGTAGCAGCCGGAACTCCCTGCCTTGCACGCCCCCTCGTGCAACCTCCCACACTTGCCACACCGACCGTGGCTCTGCTGACCCCTGGACCTGTGATCTGAAACCTTGGGCTTTTTGCCCACACTGCCTGTACCCGAAACCGCCTCCGGTTTCCTCTTCCTCTCCATCTCGAGATCAATCTCCCTCTCTCTGGCTCTAGCAATCATGTCGTCCAGTGTTTTGCAACTGGACCGGCTCACAAACATACGAATATCACTCCGCAACATCTCGTGATAACGGGCCTCCTTCATCTCCTCATCGGCTGCATATTGTGGAACAAGAAGGGCCCGCTCCCTGAACTTGGCGGTGATCTCCGCCACTGTCTCGGTAGTCTGGGTAAGATCCTGGAACTCCCTGGCTAACTGTTGCACCTCGATGACTGGTGCAAACTCCGCTCTGAACCTGGTAGAGAAATCAGCCCAGGTCATGGCATCCAATGCCGCATCATCCCCGATGGCATGTCCTACCTCCTCCCACCAGTCTCGTGCCCTGTCCTTCAGGAGACAGGACGCCAATCTGACCTTGTCCCCCTCGGGACATCTGCTAGTGCGGAATGCGTTGGCCACATCTGCCAACCACCTGGTACTCGCTATGGGGTCCCGTGCCCCGTGATAGTCAGGAGCCCCGCATGCCCTGAACTCCCTGAAAGTGAGTGTGCGCGACCCCATCACGGCCGCCATCTCAGTACGGAAAGTACTCAGTCTCTCATCCATCATCTCCAAAAGTCCGGAACTAACTGCATCGGACCAGAGTCCGGAACTAACTGCATCGGACCAGAGTCCGGAACTGACTGCATCGGACCGGAGTCCGGAACTGACTGCATCGGACCGAAGTCCGGAACTGACTGTGCATAGCATAGCATATCATAACAATTATACTGCATACGGCATCGGGCCGTAGCCCGGAACATAAACACATACACATAGCGCATAAATCATGTCTGAACCACGAAGGCATCAAACATACTAACTACTACATTGGACCGAAGTCCGGAACTACTACTAGCTGAACGGGCCGGCATTGTGGCCTTAGACCCGTCCCTACTGGAAGGAAACTCACCTCGTAAGCTAGCGGATGAGGGTGTGGCTCGGAAAGCTAACGGCTGCTGCTCCTGAATCTCCTCGGCTACAAATCCATAAACACACTCAATCAATCACTAACACTACACTCGGGGTAAAATGACTCTTTTACCCTTGGTCAAAGTCAACTTACTCAGGGCTGACTCGCCGAGTCGGGATACCCAACTCGCCGAGTCCTAGACTTTCCTCTCAACTCTTACACACTGGTACTCGTCGAGTGTGGCATCGACTCGACGAGTACCCTCTGGATCCAAGAACTCAAAATGATCTTCATCCGACTCGCCGAGTCGGATGAACAGACTCGACGAGTTGTTCTTGATCCCCAAGAAGATTGCCTTGGACTCGCCGGGTTGTATGAACAAACTCGCCGAGTCCCTCCATTACTGAGTCTACTCTCAACTCGCTGAGTCCACTCCCCAACTCACCTCGTCCACTCGACACTGAATAAACTGAAGAACTCGGGACTCGCGACCTGACTCGTCGAGTCGTTCTTCCGACTCGCCGAGTCGCCGCCATGCAACATATTTTTACTCGATTTCTCTTGAATCCAACACATGCAAATGATAGATCTAGGTCCAATAAGCTGTGTTACCACGTAAAGTTTCCAACTTTACGTGCACAACCTCGTGAATAAGGGAAATAAGGCTAAAAGATGCACAACAAGAGTAGATCCATGGCTAATATGCAATGTAACTCCAAAAAGACAGTAGATCTGGGCTCTACAACACCCCAACACTCAGATCCAAAGGTATTTCGACTTATTAACACATTCATGCAAACATAAAGCTTGGAACAACATCAAATAGCCCTTAAAATAGCTCTAATGGAAGTTTAAGCATGTAACCAGAGGGGAACTCCGAAAATACCTCAATAAGCTCAGATTTGACCTTGGATCTTTGCACTACAACTTGTTTCCTTGCTTCCTTCTTCTTCTCCTTCTTCACACCTTCACAAAATGGAACTAAATCACTTATAAGCTCTCAAATGGAAGGGTTAGGGTTTCTCACAGAGCTCTCAGGGTGAAAGTGGCGAGAATGAGGCTATAATGGGGTTTAAATAGTGAGCAAACCCGGGGATTTAGGGTTTCACCCAGACGGACGGACTCGCCGAGTCCCGGATATGGACTCGTCGAGTCGCCGGCTCCCGCGTGCACAAAATGCGCGACCCAACTCGGCGAGTCAGGCTAGAACTCGTCGAGTCCCTCTTGAAAACTTAGACCATTAACAATTAATTAACATACCGGAAACGGGTCGTTACAAGATGAAGTTGCAAAATTTCTAAATATCATTGACTATTGGACGAATGTAGGATTACCGACATGACCTATAGTTATACATTTTGTCTAGGTTACTGGGATGCCTCAATAATCGAGATCATTATGAGATTACAAAGAATTATTTTGTATGTTCTTGGAGCTCTTGTCGTCGGGTTATGATGTGATTGTACCAACTACAACATATGTGACTTCTTTGGTATTTCAGTATGATATGGATACTATTTATTTGGAATCTTATAAATAAAGGATTCACCATGATAGATAGTTTATTAGGGATCTTATGCATATTTCATTTCTTGGGTATCTTTTGCATATTGTTATAAAATGGATAATATTTATTGCAAACACATTTCCTTTGGTTTCAAGAAAATGTAGAGCTTCTACCCAATTCTTTTTACATTTTGTGCAAACCACGTGTTTGTTGGAGTGTCACTTGTTAGGGTCTATGCATGATTTAGAGATGCAACTCGAGGCTTAATGCATTTTTTTCTTTTCTTATAGATTTATCTTGTACATCTTCGAATGGAACTTGGACGTGCCCATTTTGGGGTTTCATTATTTCCCGAATTGTCAAGTGGGAGCTAAGGGATTTCTTGTTTGATATATCATCTCAATAGATTACATTTTTCTACCAATGAACATAGAAGTGTGTTGTGGGAGACAATTTCTACACACCATTGTTTTGTTTATGGATGTCAAAGAAACATTAAAGGCGTTTGGTTAATAGATGTATATGAGGTGTATAAGTATACACAAAGTGAGTCATGCTTTTCATCATCCTGATGGTCTTGTACGTTTTACAATTTGGACTAATGACATGAGTGGACATATTATTAGCATTTTAAAACCATCCACTAAGGAGTCCGATACCGATGTAAATGAGAGGTTGGTATTGGAAGTTCAGCTCCTTGTTAGTGTTTCTAAAATCACCTATCACTACTATTAAAGGTATCCCTCATAGTTGTTGTATGGATTTCTCTTAGATGTTTAAAGCAATTCTATACAAGGTGATTACTCATCCCGGGTATGTTGAAGCATGGGTTAGGTTGTTACTTCTTCCTTGGTGCACTTGTAGTTGTTCGTGCCACATAATACACAAAAAGTATGTTTATGAATATGACGTCCTTACAACATCATTATATCTTGGATAGTGGAATATATGGTGTGGATTTTATTGTGTTTGTGATTTGATGGGTTTTCGTGATCCAGTTCTGTTATTTGACTTTAGCGGTTTCACTAATAAGGACACTCCCCCCCCCCCTTTGCGCGGAAACCCAACATGCATTAGTGAGTGAAATCGTTCAAGACATTGGAGTACACTTTGAAATGACTGTTAGACAGAAAATAGTTTTCGCTTGGGATTTCTTATGGAAATTCCTATAGATTGTCTTGGCCAATATATGTCACTAGTAGAGTAGTGTACTATCCTTATGTAGCACCTCATGATTCCACTATTTCTATGTTATGAGATATGCCCAGCTTGTCGCACGACATGATTGAACTCTTTTGGGGAGCACCTAGTACATTGTTAAGATTATGGGGTTCAAGTACCGACACAATATGGTCAATGATGTTCTTTTTTATGTACTTATGTATGTTAGGGGTTCTGCCACGAAAGAGGTACCCGTGAACTTCCTGATTTGCTCATCAGAAGGAAGGTCAACACTTAGATTAGCTGACATTTTGATTTTTGGATGGGTAGTAGGTAAACATGCATATATGGATCTAACAAGGTTTCCCCTCTTCCGGGCTTAAGGAGTTGTGAGTTTCATTGTAAGACAAACTACTTTTAAAGTTGTTTCATGCAAAATGATAAATCATAGGGAAACATTCATCGAGAACCAACATGTGTGTGTACCAATTGTGTTTGATACTTTTAGTTTCCTTATGCCAGCTATTTTAGAGCTTCTTAATAAAGTCCAATAGATCATGCATAGTAATTTTATGAGCCTAAGATCTATGAATGTAATTTTTAAAGAACTAGTTTTGACATCTAGAAATGACTAGCACTACAAGAATAAACACTTATAGGGACAGGATCTATAGGGACGACATGTGTCGTCCCTATAGGCTCCCTATAGCGACGACCTGTCGTCACCGAAGAGTTGACCAAATTTTATTGACTCTTGAAGCTACCGGGATGACATCTTGTCTCAACATGTTAAGCGGGAAAAGAAAGTGGGTTGGCGCGTTCTTGAAAAACCTGTAGGGATGACTTCTTGTCCCCATACCTTTCTATGCCCAAAATATATAAATATATATAATATATTTAGTTGAAAAATAAAAAAAACGACGTTGTTTGTTTATGGTAATAGTGGCGATAGGTCGTCCCCGTAGGTTATGATCTGAGAATCCGCTTCCCTTTGGTGATCTCCGGTCTCGGACTTCTCTGTAGCTCATCGATTAGTTTGTCTCAGGATCCATCTCCCCCTTCATCACCGGTGTTTAACCTAACCCTTAACACTAGTTCATTAACGCCTCCAACTCCATTTCTCGTTCGTTCAAGTCTATCAGAACTCAAGCAAATCTCCATTTTTCTGTACAGGTTTGTTGAAGCTCATGCACATCTCCATATTTCTATGTTTTTTGTTCCTTCGTCTCCATCCCTAACTCGTAATTTTCTATGATTTCATTGTTGCTCTCTCAGGATGCGATTTTCTCACATCGATTCGAAAATCTCCATCACCAGTTCTCGTTCCCCAGCTTATCTTCTGTGATTCAAAGGTATTTTGTTTTCAGAATTGATAATATGCTACCATTGCTAATCCTGTACTTTAATTGTTAAAATCTTTTGTTTTACTCAAATCTAGTTGAGAATTTCATACGTTTGCTTAAGAAAATCCAAATTTGGGATTTTAAGCTGCCTGATTACATTTTTAGGTGTACAGAGATGCATAAACCCAACCAAGAATCAGAAGCTTTTTTTGCTGATGTGGCAACATGAGTTTTCATGATGTGGATTTGTATGCTACCAATGGTAATGGTGAGTTTTTCATAAAAAATATTTAGTGATATTTGTATCCATTTGTGCAGGAAGATCTTGAATTGATGAAGTATTATCATTGGGATTCAAAATGACACATTTAGCCTTTGCTTTTCTCCTTTTTCTCTTTCTTGATGCTTCATAACTTACAGTGTTAGCACCATTAGTGAGTTTTGTGTAATCTTCTCATTTTGTGACCATTTTGCCCTTGACAATATCTAAGTAACTTCCTGCTTTTGAGACCATTTTGCTCTTAACAATATCTAAGTAACTTCTTGCTTTTGAGACCATTTTAGGGTGCTCTTCTCTTTTGTACACTGTACTCTTCATATTTTTTATGGATATTCAAATTGTGATTTTATAATTTTGTTCCTTTTTTTATCAATTTATGTATCTTCTTCTTCTTAGCTCTCATTATAAACTTGCACCTCACTTTTGAATTTGATTCCCCTTTTTGTGATTTCTTAAATTAATAGGTTGCATTGATTTCTATTGAGTCAAGTTTCAGATAGCATTGCAGAAATTTTGGTCTTTTAATCTTATTTATAGTATTTATTTATGCATGTCCACTCTGGTAATTAATTAAACTGGAAAGGCATGTAATTTTCCTTTTGTGTGTGATGTTTTTTGGTTGTAGGATTAGCACTTGAACGTTTGATTAGGTTCTGGCATACTTAAACCTATTGTCTTTTTTAAATTTGCTATTTCTTGCAATTAACTCTTATGGATCCTCAACCTTTTGACTTTTTTACCCTTTAGGTTTGGCCATACGAGGAAGGTGGAGAGTATGGATTTGTTCAAGGGCTTTTTAGATTAATGCACACTCTTTTTTCACGTACTTATCGTTTCTCTCTTCAGCTCAATTAGTAAGTTATAATTTATAATCAAGCATGAGCTCTTGTCTCTAACTCTGCAAAGGCTATAGGTTGCACGGTAGTCAATGTTGGCAGCCAGGATCTAGTAGAAGGAAGAGTAAGCCTCATTTGATGCTTTTATAATTTATAATTTTGTTCTTTTTTTTTTAAAGTTACAACAACAATAATCACTTTAACTTGTAGTTGATGCTTTTAGTTTAGGTTGTCTGACTTTTTCCTCCTCAATTTTGCAACCTCATTTGGTATTTGGCCTAATTTCTTAAATCAATTTTGCAGCCTCATTTGGTACTTGGCCTAATTAGTTAGGTGGTTTTTCTTTTGTCTAATAAATACAAATCAAAAGTTAAGGATTTAATTTAACCAATCATGAAAAAACAATATGAGTTATCATAAACAGAATGATGGTTGCACCTACAGATACAACTCCTGGCTGATCTCAACCTTAGAAAGACACCTCAACTTCTAGAATTGTAGATACAATATGAGGTAATTCTTGATCCTTGTTTTTTATTTTTAGATTAATGAGAATCTTCAGCATGTGGTTTATATGTATGGTGTTTTATTTATAGGATGTTGAGGAGCTCATAACATTATCACCTGAGAAAATCTTATTGAAATGGATGAACTTTCATTTTAAGAAAGCAGGCTACACAAAAACTGTAACAAATTTCTCTGCAGATATAAAGGTAACCGCCACTACCAGATTTTTTCATTGAGGATCTTTTTGTAAGTAGATGGTTGTCTCTCTCTCTCTCTCTCTCTCTCTCTCACGTAGTTGAAATTAACTATTTGCCCTTTTTCACTTTGATGGGAAAATTAGAGTGTAATTTATAACAGGTGAGCACCTACGCGTTGCTGGTTGAAGATGTACTTGAAGTTGTATCCAATACAGTTGTGGTGCATGAAGCTGCAGCCTCACGCATACAACGCCTAACTAAGGTAAATAAGGTAAATATAATACAACCTGTTCTGTTTAACAAATGGATCTTACAGTCATGTTCTTTTATGTTCTGTCCTTTCCTGTTTAACAAAATGGGGTCTTACAGTTTATCGAATTTGAATCATTTTATAGCAAACCATGGTGTTTTTCCACAATTTGAGATTTTTAAAATTTAAAATCTTGATGAATTCAGGGGTTTTGGGGTGGCTAGAGAGTGGGGTACTCAATGGAAGATCTTGATGATTACTCAAATTTCGAAGGGCAATCTGAATACCGAAAGGACAAGAGAAGAAGATCTAGTGGTCAAACCCAGAAACCCAAGAAAAAAAAAGTAGTTTTAAGGGCATACCTATAGAGACGACATATCGTCTCTATAGATGCATCAACCATGACGTCATGATGTCGCTATATGGTAAGTGTTGACTGTATATATGTACCTACGGAGACAAAAAGTTGTCTCTATAGCTATACCTATGGAGACGACATGTTGTTTTTATAGATGAATCTATAGAGATGACTTGTCTTCTCTACAAAATCATCAAAGGAGACCAAAAACTTATAGAGACGAACCAGAATAGAATGACAGATCGTCTCCAAAGGCTACCAATTGCGACGATTTTTTTAGCGACGACAATAAAGATCTACTGCGACGGGGCTATGGTGACGAGAGTTATAGGGACGACATGTCATCCTGGACACCTATAGGGATGACTTTTGGAACCTACAGAGACGACAATTGTCATCCCTATAGGTCCCGTTTCTTATAGTGACACTTTGATCTAAGTTTCTTTTAAAAATAATGCGAAAACTATAGCCCAAGGTACTTTTAAATTTAATTTCAGAATAAAAAATAATTTTCAAATCGAATCAGAAATTCTAAAGGTCCAAATCATCGACCGTTTGTTTGCTATTTGTTGAACCTTATCCTCGAAGACCTCATATCCTTCATCTTGGTGCCAACACATGCAACCATCATGGAGGTGCACCATCATCGTGTTGCAATCGCCCATAGCCTATCCATTGTGATTTTCAATTTTGCACAATCCCTCCCTTTATCAAGCAACCCTAAGATGTATCGTGTTTGCTAGCTTAGTGTAACTCTCTTTCACTTAAACTTAGAAAAAATAATTAATATGAAATAGAACACTATAATATCTCGTAAATAAAACACTATAACTTAGCAATCACATATCTCATAAACGAATGCTTTACATCTTTTGTTGTTTCTTGATTTGTTGTAATAAAATTGCAAATGTTAGATGTATTTATAGAGAGGCATTGAGTTTTAAAGATTTCTTCTAACTTATATACTAGCAATAATTTTAGATTGCATTATAACTTTCTAAAATATTCTATCTTAAGCTACTTACTACAATATTTTAAACAATCATAATACTTTCACGACATTTTAGAAATTTCTATAAGCTTAGAATATTTCAGTTAACCTTTAACCTTATAACGATTTATTACTTTTGTCGCATAATATCTTCACTTACTTTTATCTACCAAAAACTTTTATTTAATACTATCTTCAATAGTTAACTCCTTTAAAAGCTTTTTTATATATAAAATTAATTAATTTATCATTTATCTATATTAAATATTTTATTAAGTCCCCTCATAATTTATCATTTTACTAACATATCTCATATTTAAGGTATTTATCGAATAATTTTTCTGAAGAAACTTGGAGGATAATTGTCGCATATTTGTCGTTTTAATAATATATGTCATTTATCTTTTTAGACATTTAAAGCCAAAAAAGATAAACTAAAAAATAACTGTTGGGTATTTTTTTCAAAGCTATAAAATTCTCATATATATAGTTAGTAAAATACAAAAACGAAAAAATATTATATAACCGTAATGTTTTATAATATCTGAAAGTTTTGGCGCTTTTTTTTTTAAATTATATAATGTTTTTATAAAATATATTCATATTTATGTTGTTGATTAAATCAATTTATTAACTAATAACAAAAACTAATATATAAATATAACTAAGATATAAAATGAGGTGTTATTAAATGTAGATATCAAATGGGACAAAACCTAAAAGAAAAATTAGAAGATTCGAGAAAAATCAGTGTTTGGATTGACCTTTCTAAACCATGGTTATCAAAATCGTGATCATAATCATAGGATCATACGATCCTACGATCTTAAATATGAAAACGAGCCGAATTGTATTTGAGGTAGGATCGCATTTAGGATCATAAGATCATAAGTAGGATCGGGATCCGATCCGATCCTACCTTCCCCCTTTTTTTTTTTGCAAATGAAAATTTATTTTTACAATTTTATGTCTTTTACCTTTTACCAACTTACTGTTTTTTATTTTTTTGTTATGACTTACGACTAATATTTTAAAGTTTTTATAATTTTTGAATGAAAAATTAAATGTTTCAAATATTTTTTATATTTTAAAATTATATTTCATTTTGTGGGATGTTAAGATCTCGATCACGATCTTGCAAACCCAAAAACGAGGGATGAGCATCGGAACGGGGAACCGACTTTTGGAACCGAAACCGCCTCGCAACTGCCGGTTTTGGAACGGGAACCGCCTTAGGCAGTTTCGGTTCCGGTTCCTAAAGTTATGGAACCGCCTTAAGCGGTTTTCGGTTCTCGTTTTTTCGAAACCGCTACCCGCTGGGTACCCACCGAACCCGATTTATATATATATATATATATATATATATATATATATATATATATATATATATATATATATATATATATATATGTGTGTGTGTGTGTGTGTGTGTGTGTGTGTGTGTTACTTAGACCCGTTTAGAATATATTGGTCCGATTTTGTCCGTCTTTAGTCCGAATTGATTTGATTCAGATCGAACTAAATTGTTGTTTTGTCGAAAAAAGTTAACAAAATTAATGCGACCGGGTTACCCGCTCCCGGAACCGGAACCGCCGGTTCCGGGACTGGTTCCAAACATTTAAGAACTGCCTAGAGCGGTTCCGGTTCCAGTTCTAACTTTTTAGGAACCGCCGGTTCCGGTTCCGGTTTTCGTCAAATGAGACGGGTACCCACCTACGCTCATCCCTACCAAAAACGATCCTAGATAGGATATTGATCTTAAGAACCTTACTCTAAATAATTTTCTTCTCCAATTGTAAAAACTTTTTCAAATAATAAAAAACTTTAGAAATAACCATCATTAAAGATGCTCTAGCCGATATCACGTTATGATCTTAAAATATTAAGTTTTTCCACCATAAAGACCATTTGTGTTTATCGGGAAAATTTGACGAAATCCGCTAACCCAATCTAGATCACATCAAAAATTAACGGGCTGGGTTGAGATTTTCAACTAATTTAAATTAAATGGGTCAACCCCTTAACCCATTTAATTAAATTGGTTGGGTTGGATAAAAATTATTAACCATTTTTCATCTCGTCAACCCATTTAACTTTAATATATATTTAATTTTATAACCAGTGAAGTGTCCCCCGCTTTGCAGGGGTTGGAAGCCTTCAGTTGTAATTAAATTGTTATTTGATCCAAAGTTATTACGAATTCAAAATTAAGTGTTGTATCGCCATTATAAGCATCGTATTATTGAAATTTTACAAAAAGAAAAAATATCAAAAACTATACAATATAAAGATTTAGGAAATTAAGTTAATTATGTATCAATCTACAACTGGCAACTTGGTGATGGTGAGGGTATTTTGGTCCTCGTTTTCTCTTACAATTCCAGTAGTGTTGTATAATTTTTCTTACCCATAATAACAACTTACTTATATTCTGCATGTTGAACATTATTAAAAAAAATCGATCCCTCCATTTTCTTCCTACATAATAGGTGATAAATGCTCCAACGGAGAAAAACAATTAGAAGAAACATTGTACTAATAATTTAAATTAATAGCAAGTTAATGAAGTGAGAAAACTAATTAATTTTACCTTACTATTTAAATTGGAATTCATGATTACATGATATGAGCACATCAACACTCCATAAACTTGAATTTAGGTACCTGAGAGCATAAATCACTACTTGTTTGGTTGATGATATCACTACTTGTTTGGTTGATGATAAAAGTTGTGAGCAATATATATATATATATATATATATATATATATATATATATATATATATATATATATATATATATATATATATATATACAAAACTTGGTATATGCTTCCTACATAGTATTGATATATTTTCATTTTAAACTTTGCTATTTTGACATATTTTTGTATCTGGTGTGCATCCACTCCACCATGATTGAGATTTCTTGAGTGATAAATTCGGTTGCATATGTGAAAGTAGTGTGCCTTTCAGAACAAAAATATGCTATTAGATGTCAAGGTTACCAAAGCATATTTACGTTGATACGTGATAATGTTTCCTTAAAAAAAATACAAAATCACATGTTTAAAAAATAAGAAACATTAGATATATGTAATGACATGGATTTTCCAAAAGTTAGCAGTTGATTATATCTTTACATCTGATTATCGATTTGGAAAGACCAATAATTAATATATACTCAGACATAAAAAGAAAAGAAAAAGATGGTGAAGATGAATGCTCAAGATTGAAATAGAAAATTAAACAATCCAATTAAAAAAAATATATAAAAAAGGAACAATAAAAATGGTACCTTTACCATCAGTATGCCATCGATGTCAATTGATGTCCATTATAGTCAGACACTTCCCAATATAAAGCAGTCAACCTTGTAGTTGTGGGCAGTGGGGTGCCTTGCCCCTACCTAAAAGGTTTAACCACCACACAGTATATGTAAAAAATACAATGTTTCAGAAAAATTTACATATATGGTCCCCACTTAAATATTTTTGGCACCCAATTTGCCTAAAATTTGAAAGAAAAACCTTGAAAGTTAATATATAATTGCTATTATTTATGTATTAATTAATTTTTATACAAAATGGTCCCCACTACACCGTAGTTCTGGATCTGCCACTGGTTGTGGGATAACATAATATGAAAGATAATAAAATTTTTGGCTGCAATATACACACACATGGTATTAATAATTGATATATGTAACTAATTAGACTTCTGTTAAGGTATGAAAACTTCAAATATGTTTTAGTTGAAGATGAATAACATACGACTTACCTTAGTAGTATCAGGCAAAAGCTTACTCCCTAGGATATAATGCATCAAAGAGATGATGAAGCTCTTGTCTTGAGAAAAAAAAATGGAAGGCAAATTATAAAACCCAACAAATTTCCTATGATTAGAGAAATCCAGGTGAGAAGAAAGACTAATTTGTAATTATTTCAACCCAAATTTTACAACTTAGAGAAATTGGGGTGGGATATTTGGGCGTGAGGATTTCAGGGTCAATCTGATGTGAGGGTGAATTCCAATGTTACTGAAAAAAACTCTTAGAATATAGAGGAGTATTTTTGAAGGCACCTATCTTGAAGATGCAACAAAACATTGACATCGACAGTCGGGGCTTGGTCTAATCGGAGGTGAAGCGGTGGAGAGAAGAAGAAAATCAGATGAAAAAATAGGATGATGGCCAGTGGAGACGGTCAAGTGGGATATCTCGAAGGTAAGATAAAGAAGCGGTGACCATGATTAGTTAATAAGTAACCCGATGAGCATTGGTAATATTGTTCATAAAGTAACACTTTTTTAATATCTATATATAATTATCTGAATATTATAATGTATTAATTAAGTATTAATTTATAAATAATAATAATGTTGTGTTATTATTTATGTTTTAAAAAAGAAAAAACATCATAAATGGTCTCTGTGTTTTTCCAGATTCTAAAATTTAGTCCCCGTGGTTTAAAAACCTCATAAATGGTTCTTGTGCTTTCAAAACTTTTAACAGATGGTCCTTTTGACTAACTCCGTTAGCTTTCTACCGTTAAATGAAAGGTATTTCCGTCATTTAACTATCCAAGGACCTTTTATGAGGTTTTCTTTTCTTTTATTTTTTTTACAAAGAAAAAAATAATTAAATTTAATATCCAATGTCTCTCTCTTCTCTCTCTCAATTGTACATGTTTCAGGTCACGTTTTGAAGCTCGATCATACCCAATAAAACCAAAATTAGTTTGTACAAAAGCAGAACATCGAATGTAAATCGATATCTGAAGCCAAAACTAAATTTGAAATCAAGTTTCTCAAATCTAGCTTCAACCTAAGAATGAATCTAGTTTGCAAAAATAGTTCTTGGAAACACTAAAAAAATCGATTTTGCTGACATATTCTTCATCTCTAACCTGTCGAATATTTGTTTCATCTCCAAAATCTTGTTCTCTATGTAGAAACATATTGCATCTATTTTTCATCTCCAAAAACATGTTCTCTATATCCAAAACTTGTTTCCAATTAAGTTGAAGACCCATCTTTTGGTTGTACAATAGCCCTTATTAACTTTAGAGCTTTATGCAGCAAACCAACACTCAACTTGATCGATAAGCAGGATATGAACACTCAAAAGCAAACTTCTTGAATCTAAAGCAGGCTGTGCAAGAAACTCTTGTAATGTAAGAATTTCCTTTTTTATCCCATTCATGATTGTAACTTCTGATTTCACAACAAGAAGTAAAGTGGCAAACTCTTTCCCGTTGAAGAAATCGATCAGAAGCTCCTGGAATGTTGGGATTCGGGTGGATCGTTGTGGATCGATGATGGTTAAGCGATACGCGAGGAGGGGAAACCAGCTATCTCTTGCGAGCCTCTTTTGTGGGTTTATCCTTCGATGTCGGCAACAACAAGCCGGAGGGAACAAGGTAGCAGTCGTCGATTTCGGGGGAGTACCTTCGGTGATGGGTTTGACTGAAAAGAAAAGAAGAAACAGAAGCGACATCAGAGCTTCATTGATTGTTGTGCCGCAAAGGGCTGCTCCTGTTGGAATCCTAAAGTCACGTAGGACCTTGGAGACCAAGTAATCAATAAATAAGGCAAGTTGGTCATGTTTTATAATTACAATCTTATTCTACAAGTTAGGTAGTTTAGGAGTATATATATATGTATAGATACCGAGATATGGTTTTGTACATAAAAACACAACATAGGTTTTGAGTTATTTTCCTATTAATCAAAGAGATATTTTGATTATTTGTGTTTTCTAAACTTGAATTGGTATCAGAGCGAGGTGAAGACGGTGCCGGTTTGAGAGTCGGTTTCAAGAATACTGTAGCCTTTTGCTGTGGGGCAGATACAGCGGGAACCGGGTTTGATTTTAAGGGGGTGTGAGTTGTTTTTGAGCGCGAGTTGAAGCATCTCAACAGCAATCCCAATTTTTCTTGATCTGGCTTGTTCTAAGGTAGAGAGAGACTAACCAGAGGCACATAATAAATGGATGGGAAGACGTCAAAGTGGGTGACTTTGATTCGGCTCGTTTTGTGGGTGACGGAAGACGGTAAATGTGGTCGTGACCTAGTCTTGTTGTTAGGTGGAAAGTTGCTCTCAGAACAAGCTTGATAAAGAGATCGGGGTGGTGAAAAGAGATAATAGGATGTTGATCGGGTTGAAGAATTCTCTAGAAGGATTTAGAGATTCGGGGGTGATTGTTGGAATCCTAAGTCGATGAGGACTTGGAGACCAAGCAATCTAGTTTATAGAAAGTTTAGTTTATGACTAGTTGGTCATAAGTTTCCTAGTCTAATACAAATTAGTTTGTTAGGCTATATATACATGTTCATAATCGAGTTTATGATTATGACAACTCTCGGTTGTCTCTCTTTTGTCTGGCAGGAAACACAAAGAAAAAAAGGGGTAAATCGGAAATAACACAACAATGGTAGGGGTGTTTTGGTGTGGTCCGATTGTTGTTCAAAGGAAGAGGAGGAGGGCTGCCATGGTGGCTAGCATTCTCTTGTTGTTCGTTGGGAAAACAATCCCCAGCAGTCTCTTGTTGTTCACCGGGAAAACAACCCATCACCAGTGGTTCTTGGCAGTCGATTGAAGAAGAAAGGAAAGAAAGAAAAATGAGAGAGACATTGGATGTTAAATTTAATTATTTTTTTCTTTTTAAAAAAAAGAAAAGAAAAGAAAATCTCATAAAAGGTTCCTGGATAGTTAAATGATGGAAATACCTTTCATTTAACGGTAGAAAACTAACGGAGTTAGCCAAAAGGATCAAATATCAAAAGTTTTGAAAACACAGAGAACATTTATGAGGTTTTTAAATCACGAGGATTAAACTTTAAAATCTGGGAAACACAGGGATCATTATGATGTTTTTTCTCTAAAAAAAATACAATCATAATTCTCATTCTTTTTCCTAGCACCGACAATACTAGCTACACTTCAAAATCACTATGCAATTAAATATTTTTAATATTATTTGAACAATTTATATGTATTTGTGAATTAAGATTTTGCTTTTGTCATACTTTATATAGTAGGTTAGATTAGAAACCACATAAATAAGTCAACCCGATGAAAACATACTTATCTAAAAAGGTAGGTTGCATTGAAAATATCAAATTCATTTAAACAAATATGTTGGGTTGATTGAAAACTTCAATCCAATTAATAAAATGGTTGAACTTGAACCGAACCAAAATTGACAAAATTGACTGCTCTAGTTTATATGCTAAACGTTGATAAATTATTTTTGAAAATAAAATCTTTATATACTTTAACAAGAAGTGTCCATAGTGAATAAACTTAAACCTTATAAATATAATTCATCAAATATCATTTTTTCTATGCACAAAACACAGCCTAAATCATATAATGAAGAGGGATTGGACACAATGGTTGACAATAAAACAGCAAATAACAATAACATAAAACGACCAAAACTGTTGTAAGAGTTGCTTTTCTCAAACAACTCCCACCTCTTACAATCACAAAGAAATCCCTTATTGTAAGGGTATACAATAGTGTACATCAACAAATGAAACTCTAATATACAATTCTAGTATTCTACTCTACCTACACTACACTCAACCAAATAAGCAAACAAACAAACAACCCATCCGAGGTTGTCGCGTATTGTGACGCAGAAAAATAAATAAATAGCGACTTATGGCAAAGAATATATATTTATAATATATAACGAAATAATTATGTTAAGATGAAAGGATCGATTGCAATGCAAGTTGTTGCTGTGGCTGCAAGGTTGACCACGTGGATGCCAACGTGGCAGGTGGTAATGTCTGTTGAAGCTGTCTCAGGAGATTAATTATCCGGCTTACAGTTTGCTCTGACGCAAGCTCTTTTCCACCACATAGTATCTATATACACCAACAGTACCATAAAATTTTATATTTTATTTATTAAAACTAAACTTTAATTCCGATTAAATAAATAAATTTCGACTTAGGAAACTAACCTCAGCAAAAATCGAAACAATTTTAGGAAGATATTGATTATTGGGGCCTAATATTTCCACGTCAGACCTGTACAAAAATAAATAAATAAATAATGACAATTGAATTTAACCAAAACATATTATAAAACATTAAAAAAATGTATTTAATTACCTTTCTACCATGGAACAAAGAAGGTCATGGACGACTTTTGCCTCGATAAGATCTCCTTTTATTGGCAAACAGCTTAACCAGGCGGGTATAACCTAAATGATTTTTTTTTTTTGTATAAAAAATATATACAAAAATATATATAAAAAAATAAAAAATACCTGAGCTGAATCAATAGTGTCGCGATGAAATTGACATACTTTTCCTAAAGCAGAAACCGCATTATCGTATGCCATTATATTATCAGGCTGGAGGGAATTTGGGTGTCTTATTACAAAATTCAGCCTTGAAAGAACCTCTGAAAAAGTCAATAAAAAAGTCAACAAGTCAATAAAAAGTCAAAATAGAATGGAAAGAAGAGAGAGAATTTGCAAGATCTAATTTACCTCCAACGAGAGGTTTAATTACAGAGCCACCATGTTCTGCACACACGCCAAGTCCATATACAGCTGCCTGAAGAAAAAAAAAAGTCAACAAGTCAACAAGGGTAAAATCGTAAATAAGAAATTATATATACAAATTCTGACCTGTCGGATATCTGGATTCTCATCGCTGCATGCGTCAAGAAGGAAAGGGACATATGTATCATAATATCTGGTTTGTAATTAAAAAAATATTTAAAAACAAAATCTAAAGGTTAAAAAGGTAATTATGGTAAGTAAGGTAATGTACTTTAAAGCTGCTTCCCGACACTGCTCTGCCACATCATCAAAGATGCAAATAGCAATTCGTCTCTCTTCTGTTGTCTTATCCTTGCCCTTGAAAACATTAAAAATAATAAATGTAATTGCTTTAGAAAAATGTATAATCAATTTTATTTTTTTTTTAAAAATGAAATTTGGATTAGAATACTCGATACTTACCCACATGGGCATTATATAAGATGATAACTCATCAAAGAAAGGTAAAAAGGAAGCTTTAAATGTTTTCACCAAAGTTCCCAAAATTTCACCAACCTGTTATAACAAAAAATAGTCAAAAAGATAAGGCTTATAAGATTCATGCCAATAAAAAAGAAAAAAGTTATTTATTGGGAAAAAGGAAAAGTCAACAGACTTGGTCAAAGACTTCTTCTTCTTGCTCATTTTCTTCTTTAAGAAGCTCTCCTTCTTCTGCATCAAAATCTTCAGCATTTGTCCTTTCAGCTCTTTCTTTTTTTCTGCTTGAACTTGCTGTAATCACCTGTTTTATTTCATCAACAATGCTTCTCACTTGATTTTCATCTAAAACTTGTCCAGAAATCTGAAAAAAAAGTCAAAATTTGGAAAAATCATAAATCTAATGTGTAAACAAAATAAAGATATTGATTATTGACCCAACCTGTAGACATTCATTCAAAGCATCCAACATATTTGCACAAATTTCTGTATCAGGCTCCTGAAAAAAGAATAAGTAAAAGTTTGTGAAACTAGTCTATATAAAGTACTTAAAAGGGTAAAAATGGAATTAATTTATATATAGTATAATAAAATAATAATCACCTTATGTAAAGCTTCAACTAAAGCTGGAATTATATAGTCAGAAAGTTGTTTTATATAAGATCCATCACGACCCTGTGCAAGCCCTTTCTCTATAGCTAATTTAGCAGACCTTAAAAGCTCAGGCATTGCTAAAAAATAAATAAAAATAAAAAATAAGTATTTCTTTATTAAAACTTGTAATGTTAATTGTGATTAGTATAGACAATAAACAATTAAACCTGAAACAGCCGCTTTTCGAACTTCTTCATGAAAGTAGAATTTGAGAAGGGGTACTAATGTAGGGGCAACCTGGTCAATTTACACATCAAGAACTCCATAAGGTAAAATAATAAGTAATAAACGATTACAATTTATAAATATTATGAAAGATGACTAACTTGGTCAATCCATGGGTAAAAACCCTCTTTCAATTCATCTGCATAACAACATAACATATTGCAAGCTGTAGCTTTTTCCTCAAGGACACTAGTTTTTATTCCTATTCTTTTATCACCAAGTGTAATTGTCTCCATACTGCAGAATCATATGGAAAAAACCACAAAATATTAGTCATATGACATTATAAATTTGTTAGATTAATATAATTTGATACCTTTCATCATCAGATTCAATTTCATCATCTGAATCAGCAGATGTGATGATGACATCAGGTTTAAGTTGAGCTGATTGAAGCAATGGAGGCATAACTACACTCATATAAGGAAGAAAATCCTGTCCTAAACATTTGCATAATCTTGCCCATGCCTATAAAATTTTAATATTAATATTAAATATATAATATATTGAATGTGTTTGTGTTGGAGAAAAATTTGAATAACATTTACTTGAAGCATGTAACTTGTTGTGGGGTCATCATTTTCCATTTGAGTTCCTTGTAGTGACATGAGAACTTCCATCACCTTGAAACCATTTTCAAGATTATTAGAAACTTTGAAATTACTAAATAGGAGTATTCAGTGGTGTGTTTTAGCATTTATGATGAAAAGTGTGAAAGGTTTACCTGTTTTGCATCATCTCTGAATTTTTCTTTTCCAACAGCCATTCCAACAAGACTAATGCATTCCATAGCTTTGGCTCGAAGCATGCGATTAGCTTTATCATTTGCATTTACTAATATGGCTTTTAAGTAGGGCATAACTGCGTCATAGTACTTTTGGAAGTGTTCCTATTGAAAGCAACAAGCACCAGATGAGGGATTTGAAAATTTTATAGATAAGGGTTGTAGTTATATTTCATTATTTTGATTATCTTGATTCTTGACTTACCTGTGATGAATCAGCAACTGATGCTAGAGCAGTTAAGGCCCCTTCTTGTACCATTTGCTTACCATTCTGCATAAGAAAGAAGAATGAACACTTTGTAAACAGAATGAATAAAAGATATAATAAGGTATCTGAATTCTGTTACCTGTAGTAATACAAGCAATTTGCTCACTATTCCATCAAGGTAAGGCGTTAGAATATCAGGTGTGCAATTCTCACTGAAATTTAACACGGCTGAAGCAGCATGTGCCTGAACTCGAGGATTCTGGAAGTCATCCATGGCTGAAGCTAATGCTGGAAGAACACGTTGGTGGTACTGAACTTGCAAGTCCGGGCCTAAATCTGTAGACAACTGCCCAATTGCATTGATAGCAGACCATCTCACACGTGGGTGAGGATCTTGAAATGAGTTTAGAACCATTGTCACCACTTGTTCCAAGTTTTTTATCATCACCTACAGAAGTCAGAAAGAAAGTCAAACTTTATGGAAGTTGCTTTGGTTTTTAATAAACACAATATTAGAAAACAAGAGCATGTATAGGCATAGAGTTATATTGCATTAATGATCAGACTTGGACGGAGAATCTGTGAGCTGACTACCTTTGAGCATCCCTCAGCAATTTGTGCAAGAGCAACAAGAGCAGCATGATGTTTCTGCCACTCAGGTGCAGCCAAGTATGCAGGCAACTGTTCAGATGCAACGGGGACAATGGTATTCCCACCCAAAGCAAT